TTCCAAGTTCTGAAAAGGTCAGCCTGCTTTTTTTCCCCTTGAGATCAACCAAGATCAAATTGGTGATGCCACTTGATGCAATGTGCTTAGCTACAGTTGTATAAAATACATGCACTTTTCATTTGGATATAATGGAGGCAGCTTATATGTTTATGCTGCAGTCTTTATAAGGTCAAATCAGAGTAGGCGTTCCCCCCCCCCCCAAAAAAAAACAACAACCAGATTTTAAGTATCACATTCTGAAATATTCAGATACTTGAGAGATTTTTGCCCTGCTGTCAGGGATATAACCTGTAGGGAGCACTATCTTCCAATTCTTTTCCTATTCATAATCCCATTGAGTAATTTAAACTAAAAGGCAGGTCAGTGAAGTAACTTCACTTAGGACAACTTTAATTCAGTTGTGCTATCCCTTTCTCACTAGGAAACTCTTCTAAGAGTTGTCTTATCATCATCATCATAGTTTAAACCACAAACTTTCCACTTTGTTTACTTTTTCTATTTGGAAAAGCAGTAGATGGTGAAAATGGAGGGAGGGATTGGTAAAAGGGAGTCGTTTTAATGCATTACCTTTTATACCTAATATTTAAGGTATCAAAAGCCTCTTTGCTTTACTTATAGCCCCAATATTCATAGAAATAAAGATTCAAGAGTTTTAATATCATTCAGCAGGAATAGAATTCTATGTATGCTGTCAGCAGGTGAAGGAGAATTGGACTTAAATTAACATATATTATACCCTTCCCAGATCTGAGCTTCAACTTATAGAATTGTCAGCAATGATCATGCTGGTTAAGAATCTCTTGTTAGGAAAGGCTGATAACATACCTTGGGAACAAACCTTTAAGCCTTGGTTTCAAGAAAATAATATCTAGGAAAGCTGAATTGCTATAATTATATACTGTACAAGGATTTATGAAGTGAAAATTCACTGTATCTCACAGAAGGCACATATATTTTATAAAAAAAGAAGTCATAATTAAAAATAGTTTTTAAAAAGCTAAAAATTCTCAGCTTGAACTATTTACTAACTTATTAGCTAAATATATTATCCATGCAACTCTCTTTCATTTCGCTACTTTCTCATTTATCATTCTGCTCCTCCATTTTGAATTTGGTCTTCTATATTCTAAAGTATTCATACTTTTTATTTCAAATAAAGAATTTAATATTTGAGCATAGTCTAATGCAATTTTATATTTGGTGCAGTCTATTCCCAAAGGAGCAATGGATTTTTTTTCTTATTTAAAGTTTATCCTTTAATACAATTTGTAAGCTATAATCTAGATTTGTTGCTCTGTTTGAAATGATTGGGTGATCTAGAGTAGTTCTGTTTAACTTAGTTGCCATGTTCTTGATTCTCTGGTTAGGATGTTTGTTGGCATGTATCTTTGCAAAGATAGTGGAGTGATCTAAGACTATGATGACTAGATAAAACTAGGTAAGGAAAACTTCCTGAAAGCAATTCAGGATTTTGTTTGAAATGGACTTTGAGTGAATCTGTGGAATTTGAAGTGGCCCAAGCAATAGATGTTATTTCTAAGCAGTTTCCCTTTCCCATTCATTGAGTTAAACCAGACCTGTTTTAATGGGGGAACTGAGAGCAGTAACATAGAAAGAATGGTAGCTTGGATGTACACCAGGGAAATCTTATATTGAATTGGATCAAGCCTAAACTAAAGCCCATTTGGAGCATTGTAATGAAGGCAACAAAGAAGGCTTCTGATTCCTTTGCACCTGCATAGAATGTGCATGTGTTGCATCCTCCAAGGAGTGTATTTGCACAATTAGGTTTCATGTACCAGCTACAACCATTCCTGAGTCAGTCAACCTGGCAACAGTTAAATCTCAGGGGTCTCTAATTCTTTAATAGTGGTCTGGAAATTTTACTTGATGCAAAATGCAGTAGCCAATCTGCTAACAAAGGCAAATTAATGCCCAAGTTGAAAGAGTTGCATTGGTTGCTGATTGTTTTTCAGGCTCAATTTAAGATGAAGGATTTGACTTCTAAAGCAGTAAACAGTTTAGAGCTTGACAATTTGAGATATCTGCTTAGTTACTAAATTAGAAGGCAAGACCTGCTTAAAGAAACTCTTATTTTCTGAGGTCTGCTTCCCAAACAGATATATAAAAGGGTCTTCTCTTTCTTTTCTTTTTTTTGCTCCTGAGTTATGCAATGTACACTTTAAAAGCTGTCCTTAGCCCCCTTTTTTCATTTTAGGAAAGTGATTAAGATCTTCCCCTTTTGTTGGGTTTTTCCAGTTTGATTAATTAGTACTTTAATTGCTTTTCTCACATTTAAAAGAATATTTAGTAACCTTGATTTTCCTCAGGGCAGAAAGATGAATATATATAATTCGTTAATTACATTGCTTTATAGCTTTTCTGTTTGGAAAAGTATTTAAAGCCATTAAACTTACACAAACAATGTAAAGATAATAAGATGGCTGTGTCAAATGAATGAGAAGATAGTAGCAAAAGAAATAGTCATGTTGGATGCAATTCNCTTCTATTCATTAGATTAGATGTAACCAAAGGGCAAAGTTATGCTGATGCAGCATATTTGATTACAATCCTGTTGATAAAATTAAAGAATTCTTGTTTGGGAAATGCAAGTCTGGCCTGGCATATTAATCCAAGATTCTCTTAACTCAAAACAGAAAAATTAATCACTCATCAAATTGATCATCACACAGGCTTTCTTTCTTCAATAAAGAAGGAATTAGTTGCTCCTTTAAGTTGCGTATGGTTATACAATGTCTTCTAATTCTTAACTTTTAATCAGCAGTTGAGGCTGGAGTGTAATCAAGATGTTATTTAATATATTGTAGGAATAAATGCTTGCACTTAAGATGTTATTGCACAGCTTTTAGTTATTAACAATGCCTATTTATACATTTTTCCTCTCTTGATTGGTACTTGTGAAAAACACAGGCTCCCCCTCACTTACAGTGGTCAATGCCTCATTGGTTATAGTAATTGCTGAACTGAAGAGTGTGCAATATGCCTGTTTTATCCATGTTGGAACAATACATTGGAGACCAAAATTTAAGGCACCATTATGGTCTCTACCCCAGCAACAGCCAGCAGCTGCCATAACTTCACTGTATGCTGTTTGCTGAGGAAAGAGTTCTGTGTCAGCCAATTGCTGCTTACACCTATGCCTGCTAAATAGATGCCACCCTCTCATGGAAAGACATAACTAAAAACTGGTTTATATCAATCTGAAGATAACAACACATAATGTAGAATATTAGATCAGAGTAGGAAGAGAAAAGAAGGGAATCTGATTTCTTTCCTGCTTTGAAAATGTTCCAAGCAGGTAGAAGAGATAGCTGAGGTTCTCTCTCTCTCTGATTTGATATTTGCCCAGAGGCCCAGTTTACACAACTGAAGTGCTAGGTAACTGGCCTCAGAGTCAGCTGCACAATCAATGAATGTGAACTACATTCCTCACCCAGCTTATATTCACACAGCAATAACAGCTCTGTTTCCATTATCATATCAGAAATGGCAGCCTTATCTGCTGAACCTCCATTAGAAAAAGATTTCTAGCTCTTTTGTTCCTAGGATAATTTGTTGAGATAGCTATAATCTAATTGTACTCCACAGCTGCACAACCAGAAGCCTTTTTACCTTGGGGGCTCCTTCTTATTTGGCACGGAATAGGGATTATTTGAGTGATAATTCAGGTTTCCCATCCAAGACAAGACAGTAAAAGGAGGACAGGCGATGTTCAGCCAGTTCCTAAGCAGCAATTATAATTTCCTATCACATAGGCAATTAATATGGTCCAGTAAATGATAAAGTACACCAGACGAAGGCATATCACAAGGGCCATTATCGGTGACACATTCAAGAGAGTCATTAACAGAACAAAAGTAAATGTGAAGGAGCAACACTTCCAGCGTTTCATAAAATATATTGCAAATTAAAACCATAAGACAAACCAAGGCATATCTCTGAAATATAGTTTTGTTAAACCTTGATTAGCTTAAAATAATGCATGACTGACTAATTCCAGTCTAAAAACAACACTGGAAATTTTTAGGAGGCTTTTAAAAACAAAATTACTTTAATATACTGTATACAGTAGAAGATAAAAAAAATTAAAAAGGAAGAAGAAAGGAAATAAGAAAGAATATGTTTGTGTATGTGTATTTAATTAAGATATTCAGGTTTGATCATACCAAATAATACTGATCAGTCTTTCCATGATGTCCAGAAAGACCCACTTCATAAGCAGAGAAGGAACATATGTGATCAGATTGCTATTGCATTAGTGTCTTTTCCTATGCCTCACACTTAATAAATCCATGAATATAGTTCTACATATATTCATAAGTTTCTGATAGTTGTTATATAATTCCCAGTTAGATTTACAGTTTAAAATTGTATTCTCTTCTTAAAGCCACATTAGCAAATTAATGGACATTAAATCAAAAAGAAAAATATTGAATCAAGGCTGTATCATGTGGATAGTTGTTCCCTTGATCATTCTACAGCAGCATAATATGTAACTGTTATTAAACATTGTGAGGTGTCCAGTAAGCATGAACAAAATTAAAATGATCTTAACCTCATGAGAAAACAATATACTTCAAGATGCTTAACCATTGATTTGCTAACATGGGTTATTCCAACTCTTTAAGCCAGGGTTCTTGCAAGTAATTGCTCTATGACTTAGCAATGTTCTTTAATTGCATATTAAAAATACTTCCAGTCTAGAATAACCCCGCACATATTTCAATCCTGATAGCAATTCAAGAATTTTATATGCTTCTAATGGATGGTTTAGTTTACAATAGCCACAATTTTCTTACTTCGTGCTCCTGTGTTATCAAGTTAAAGATGAAAGGAATTTTTCATGTAAAACTTTTCAAGATTCCATAGTTCTCGCTACTGTTTTCTTAACATCTTTTATTAGGCTCATTTTCTTTCTTGTCTTTTTCCTCAAAATTTATGACTGGAGGTTATATAAAATGTTCCCTTTTTTACAGATTAATCTGAACAGTTCCATGGAGGTCATAAGCAGGGAGTCAATTATGGTGGCTTACAGTGAACCTGTCCATCCTATTATGCAGTTTGATCCATCTGATTCCAGTTACTTGTATTTAATGACTTCTCATCAGGTAAGTTTATTTCCCAAACCTACCTTTCTATGTAGTTTCAATTTAATCAGTTAGGGGGTTTCTCTTTGTACACCAAACTTTTCACAGCTGCACAGATGATATAGTGGGACAGTATTTCTTATAACATATTATAAATACTTTCAAAATAATTGTTGGTTTTATTGGCTCGTCTTGAAACTTATATTTTTGCATATTTTTGTAACGTATTGTCATTGTTACCAAATTATTGCTCCATCATTCCTCATCACTGATCATACTTTGTACAGATGGTTAAGGACTGTGGGATGCCACATTTTTCTTGCTTGGGTAGGTCATGGAAATGCAGAGATAATTACTGGGCATATTTTGTAAGTTTGTCAGCCTAGCTTTTGAGATCTTATTGGCATGGTGAGACACGATTTTTATCAAATAAGCCATAATTAGAGGATTCATGTTTCATAGCAAGTCTAAAAAGAAAGAAATCATTATTTAGGAGTCCCTGTGAATCAAAGTATTGAATGTTTCTTATACGCAGATGTAATACACTTTTAATCTGCCCTTGATGGTATATTAGATGGAACAAGATGGAAAATAAAACATTATTATCAATATAGTTAAGATTGATTGTTCACTATGAGATAAAAACAATGTATTCAAAACACAGCAGAGACCAGATCTTAGAAGAGCATGTTTGTACTGTGGTTGTTGCAAATGGGAAAAGGCTGAAAGTTGGCTGATATGTTTCTCTTGTATAATTATGCTTTCCTACTGTTTGTGTTCACTTACGGTGGTAATAGATGTACTATCAGGAGACTCATAGGGCAGGTTGGGGAAAGGTTCACCTGAGAAAGTCTATGTGGTCACTAAGAGTCAGTACAAATTTAAGGGTACATTACACTGGACAACAACAACAAAAATTCAAAGGTTTTTCTTTCTTGAAGGAAGATTATGACAGACCCTTTTAAACTAAATGCAAATATAATTTCAGAATGATTTATCATGTAGGATCCTTGGGAAATAGAAATTAACTCTTAGTTATTATAATGTATTTAATCACATAATGTTTCCAACATGCTGCATGAGTTCAACAGGACTAAAAGTGTTTTGCTGTTGATTTTTGTTAGTGCTTAGTACCAAATTCATCTTACTGCATTGTCCAACAATAGTCAGGCAGCATTGATGGACAGTTTCCCTGACACTGTTTTTCTATTGTGACAATATCTTGGTGAAAACTTTCACCATGTTTGTCACTTACTGCATTTAGATTTTTGGGAAAGAAGTCCAAGTGTGAATACAGAAAATAAATCTTCAGTGACGTGTTACACTTCATGGTATTGTATGGTCTCAGAAGTTTGTCAATCAGCTGAATGCAGTTTGGTGCTCTGTCTTCTTCATCTTTATTTCGTCTTTTATCGTTTTGGGTGTCAAGGGAGATGAAAAGTTCTGGTTCTTGCTCTTTTGATGGCCTCAAACATTATTATTTGATGCTCTTGTAGTTGTCTTTGATGTTGTCTCCCCATCATCTTCTGGATCTTCCTCGTATTCTTTGTCCTTCTACTCTTTTTGTATATGCCTTGTATGGTATGGAATCCCAAGACATCCTCTCAAGATGAGCAAACCACTTTATTTGCTGCGTTTGTATGTCGTTTTAAGATTGGTTCTATGCCAATTCTTTCTCTTACAATCTCATTTCTGATTTTTTCTCTTCTGGTCACTCTAGCAGCTTTCCTCAAATATCTCGTCTCCGTGATGAGTAACTTTCATTTATGTTTTATAAGTGTCAGTGTTTGGCACTGGTAATTGTAGGTTTTATAAATGTCAGTGTTTGGCACTGGTAATACAAAGTGAGTAAGAATATGCTTTGTATGAGATGTTTCTTTGTGCTGATCATTAATGCTTTATGCTATAGGAATGGAGTTAGCAGTCCCAATACTTGGTTTGCCTTACTGCATCATATGTTAATCTCTTCGTTCATTTTACCATCTTTGATGAATGTTGTTCCTAGATATTTGAACTTTGATTGTTGTTTTATGCTTGTTTCCCCATTACTATGTTTAAGTTGGTTTCAATTATGTTTAAGTTTAAGTTGGTGCTTTATAGTTGCCAAGAACATTCTCAATAACATCCTTTAATGCTTTCTAGGCAATTTTCTTGGGCCCCGCTAACAGATCTTTGGGTCGCTTGTCATTGATGATATATCAGATCTTTGGACCAACAAAAATGCCTTCCTTAATCTTGGCATCAGCTATTCTTGGAAACATCTGTCTCAAAGAACAAAAAACTTGATCTTTCTTGTTCAGCGCTTTTACAAAATGTTTCTTCAGTCTGAGTTTTATATGAAGCAGAGGCAAAAATATCTTTGTCAGGTCAACAAGTGCTTCATGTGCCAATTATTTTGCCATGTTTTTCTGTCCTAGTACCAACTTATTTTGGAATGGCGTTTCTTTTTAATGTAATGCAACTTCCTTGCACAGCTGTCCTATTTGCATATGTAACAACAATACTTGGCATATCCAAGCAGCAGAGCCACTACTTTTAGTTCTGACAAATATTCCAGTTGCACTTGGTGCGTCAGCAACAGTTCCATGTTTTTGTATCTTTCTTTCATATATGCAGCATAGGCAACAGGTACTGAAACATTAAACATTGCCATTGTTTAAATACAAAAGATGTCAACAAAATGGTATGTGACGGATTAAATTACTTGATTAAATTACCAGATTATTCTCAAGATTAGCTGCCCAAAATAGATAGAATACAACCAAGTGTCCAGGAAGCAAAAACTTCATTTTCCAGTGTTATCTATCAATTAATGGATTATTATCTTTACTGTCTAGTTGAAAATAAAATGAATGTGGTATTCCTTGCAAGCTTCAGGGTTCTAACTAATAGTTTTCTGTTTAGTAATTAATCTCTCTGCTGCAATTTCCTAATTAATGAATATTTTCAGTATACAAAACTGATAACTTGCTCCTTAATCATTTATCCCATAACCATTTTTGATCAAAACAGTTTACTGGTAGTCCTTGCTTAACAACTGTAATTGGGACCAGAAAATCCATTGTTAAGTGATGTAATTGTTAAGTGAGACATCACATGACAACTTAATTTCCATCATGATCATTAATTGCCAGCTTCTCCATTGACTTTGCTTATCAGAAGCTGACTGTAAAGTATACAATCACATGATCAGTCTTCATCATGTGGCCATTGGGATCTGACGACAGTTATAAGTGCTACACCATTTGAAAAGTTATTTCTTTCAGTGCCTCCATAACCTTAAACAGTTGCTNGAGTCACAAAAGGATACCTGGCATACAGCTGTTTGGTGGCTAGCAAAAAGGAAGGAACACTGAAGCTGGAACACGGAGGTATTGGAAGGGCTTGGCATCAGAGGTGATATTCAGCAGGTTCTGACCAGTTCTGGAGAACCGCTAGTGGAAATTTTGAGTAGTTTGGAGAACCAATAAATACCACTTCTGACTGGCCTTTCCCCATCTATTGTCTGCCTCTCGAGTCCCAGCTGATTAGGAGAAAATGAAGATTCTGCAGTTACTTTTCCTGGAGTGGAGAGGAAATGGAAATTTTACAGTATCCTTCCCCTGCCATGCCCACCAAGCCATGGCCACAGAACTCGTAGTAAAAAAAAATTGAATCCCACCACTGCTTGGCATGTGTCTTTTCGGGTGGTGTGGTGGGTGGTGGATTCTTCTTGGTGGCAGCATTGTTTGGTGGACCTCAATTTATTGAGCCTTTTAAAAAATGCCAGCAGTTTGTCGAGGCCTGCTATACATGTTCTCCTTATTATTCAAACCATATGCAAAAAAATATATTGAGGTATGCGGAATTGGAAGAAGATTAGTGTGGCTTTAAGATTGGAAGAAGAAACATCAATAATCTTCGGTAGTCTGATATCTGGAAATTTCAGCAATTAAACTCAAAGGAGCACTATGAAAAATCCAGTCCTCATTGCATTTCAGGTGCCTGGCACCTGGCATGGATATACAAAGGTTACTGCATCCTGTGGTCTTGTGATTTCTACTAGTGATCTTCACAGCAACTTCCAACAAACAAAGTCATTGGGGAAGCTGGCAGGAAGTCACAAGTCACAGACCCATGACATGCTTAACAACCTGCCATGATTTGCGAAACAAACACAGACAGAACTGATGTTGTAAGTTAGTGCGCAGTCACGTGACATGCTTAACAACTGCTCTGCTTAGTGACAAAGTTGCCAAACCTTATCTCAGTTAATAAGTGAGGGCTACCTGTATTGGTTAGTTCCAGGGGTGGGTTGCTGCTGGCATTACTTCAGTTTGCTGCATGCAGTTGCCTGTAAATTGTTCTGTGCATGCGCAGAACATTAAAAAAGAACTAAAAAACATGCCAGCAATGGCATGGGTGACTGGGGAACTGGTTCGGGGTGTGGCCAGCTTGCCGTCCCTACTGGTTCAGCGACTCGGTCCCAGTTTCCACTACCGGTTCACCTGAATCGGTGTGAACCGGTAGCAACCCACCTCTGGTTAGTTCATATATAACAGTAAAACTAAATTCTCTGGATTATTGTAAAGAAACCAGGCTAATAATAAAGGCTATTTAGTCATTTGTACTCTGCTCCTACCTCCTACCTTGGTTAAGTAAGATCCTTCTCCATTGGGGAAAGTGCTGGTCATCTGAAAATGGAATCCTTGCAGTTCTCCCAAATGAGGACTTAATAGTGTTGTGGGTGTAGTGGCCACTTTATGATTGCCCCTCCTCTGTAGAAATGCAGGCCAGGCAACCTTATGGCTGTTTTCAAGGACACGTCTGATGCAGCTGTTCCTTCTTCCAGGCACCCCTTCTATTAGATATAATTCACATATCTAATACTTAATTGCTTGCCTTATATGCTTGGTCTGCATTGCATTACTTGTGATTTATTACCTAATTGATTCTGTACAAGATTTGTATGCTAATTTTCCCCAATGCAATCAATTGAACACGAGAGTTAAATAAAATAAAGTCTTTTTGGGGAAATTGGAACTGTGTGTCAGTGGATACTTTTATGAAGTAAAATTAGACAGCAGGATAGAGTAATACTGCTGCAGCATTAAAGAACATGGGCAGAGTTTAAACATATCTAGTTGTAAATGTTACCGGAGACCTTCATAATATATAGTTACTTAATATTGCAGAGTAATTCAGCACCAATATACCCAATTTAAAATGTGATTTACTCTTCAGAAAATGCACATAATAAAATGTGTATTTTTATTGTTTGTCTGCATCCATAGTGATTAAAGCAGTTTGTAGGCTTTATTTTCCATCCACTTCCTAGTTATGTCTAGCATGGAATTTGCCCTTTCCACAATTGCTACCACTAAGTCAACATCTTCATTGAGTTATCTAATATGATCCCTTTTCCCTTAATCACTGACATTTCAGACCCCATCGGAATATGTGTGAAATTAGCATTACTTGCCACAGATATTCATAGCTTTATTCTTATTTCAACTGAGCTGCATTTGTCATTTGATCATTTTACCCAGTGCAAAGATATGCTTTTGAGACACATAATTTCATGATAGGTTGGTATCATCTGTAAACTTTGTTACTGTGTAGTCTCTCAGGTCCTGGCATATATCGTGTTACTCAATTTGTTTTAGTAGTTTCAGTACCCTCCCAGAGATAGTCGATGCAAGCTTAAGCATCTGTCCTATATCTGCTGTAAGAATTGCAGGTGCAAATAATTAATTTAGTTTCTTTGCCATATCCATATCCTCTTTGAATGTCCTTAAAATGTGTATATTAAATAGAACAAATGAACATAAAAATATATGTATCTCTGTTTTAGATCACTATGTATCATAAAACAAGAGTCTAGCTTATTCCCAATTGTCTTTTCAATTAGGAAATGGGTTATGAATCTTCACTATTTATATTTAGAATATACGGCTCATGGAATTTATGTTAAAGCTATGTTTTATTTTATACTAGCATTTCTGTAGCATTATATTTCAAACCAGAACTAATTTGATCCTGTGATTAAGCTAGAAACCAGGAGACTGTGAGTTCTAGTCCTGAGTTAGGCTGGGTGACTTTGAGCAAAGGGCTTCTCAGCCCAACTTACCTCACAAGGTAGTTGTTGTGCAGAAAATCGGAGAGGAAGAAGTATTAGTTTCGATTGCAACCTTGAGTTGTTTATAAAAATAATAAAGATAGGTGAGATAAAAAATAAATAGCATAGTGACATACATAAAAACAAAAACAAAATATTACAAATAACTACTCATANAATCCCCATCCTGTGTGTAGGGTATGAAAAACAATTTCTTTATTTAAAAAGCAAACTGTCATGGAAAGAAAAAAAGCAAAAGACAGCAATTTTAAAGAACTTATTAAAAGAAATATAGAATTTCTTTATCAAGTCGTTTTGTTTAATTTTTTTCCCCAACTAGGATGTTAACATTCTTTTGAAATATACATTTTCCCCTTTCTTCCTATCTGGGATAGTCAGAAAATATGGATAATAAAATTTATTTTTGTTAGTTTAAAATAGTTAAAATAACAAAAATAAAAATCATGTTAAATTGTTATACCTATTTCCATCTTAGACATGCATGCAAATACTTCAGTCAATGAATTTTTGTTGCAACTATTTGCTAATCCATCCCGTCCTCCATATTTTTTAGGCAGCATTAACTATATAGCAGCAAATCTAAGTTCCTTCTGTAAATAAACTAGATATGAATATAAAAAGCGCATGTGTGCATGATTTTAAAACTAGGCAAAAAAAAAAAAAACCAACCTATAGGGGAGAGAGAAGTGGCCTGGCCCTAAATCTTTTAAGATTAAAAGAGCAAAAAGACATTCTCTATGACTATTTATCAAATAAAAATATATAAATAAAACATTCAACCCATTATCCGTGGACTAACTAAATTAACTCTGCTGGGGTTCATTTATATGTATGTCTGCTGTATATAATTCAAAGAATATTATGTAAAGCAAAAAATGACAGACTTCTATTATAAGCTCTATAAAGCTGCTCTTTTTGGAGGGAAAAACTCTATTTATAACAATTTCATGATCACTAAATCTGGTAGATGAGCCTTCTACTAGCCAGCATTTCAATTTTCTAAATTTAAGGTTTGAGATCAACTAGCATCTCATCTGTATTGGATCAAAAAGGACAAGTAATCCTGGGTACTATCATATTCTGATGATAGTTGTTTGTAATCTTTTGCTCATCCTGGATAAGTATAAAGTGCTCTGTTGCTGAAGTTAATTAAACAAGAGTCTGCTATTTGATTATTTAAAATTGTTATCTTGATTTTTTTTCTGTTACACAGATTGCTCGTGTGAAAGTAGCTGCTTGTGACCAATACACTAAGTGTACAGACTGCTTGGCTGCAGCTGATGCTTACTGTGGATGGTGTACTTTGGAGACCAGGTGGAATATTTTTTGCACTTTATAACCCTCTGACAATAAGGCATTCTGAACAGATAATGATTACTTAATATTATTGTAAACTTTCACCAGATTCACTGACTTGTACAATAATAAATAGCTGATGCAGACTTTACACTTATGTGAATATAAATACAATCAAGACATTGTTGGATAAATAGCATTTGAACAATTTTCAGGTTTTTATGAGACTTCACACATAAGCTCAATTACTTTGTGGGGGAAATCAATCAACAGACTTGTGTATTATATTGTGCATGAGATAGTCTAAGGCAGCATTGATTTTGAAGATAATAAAAACTCATGCAATCCGTAGTTATATTTTAGTATAAAATTATCTATCGTATGTATTATTTCTTTTTTCACTTCAAATGTGATAGGATAAGTCAAAATATTATTTTAAAAATTCTATTTCACACTAAGATGCTCTTAGCATAAGTAAAGTTATGGATAGCATGCATATTTTGGACTAGTTAAAAGTCTTTAAGAAAGTATTTTAAGAAAACAAGACAGAGCCACAACAATCAATTTATGTTTTTGAAGAATATTTTAAGAGAGTCTAGGGCAGGGATGAAATTCAGCAGGTTCTGACAGGTTCTGGAGAACCGGTAGCAGCAATTTTGAGTAGTTCGGAGAACTGGCCCCAGGAGTGAGGAGGAAATGGAGATTTTGCAGTATCTTTCCCCTGGAGTGTGGTAGGAATGAGATTTTGCAATATCCTTTCCCTGCCACGCCCAAAGATCCGGTAGTAAAAAAAATGAATTTCACTACTGGTCTAGGGTAAACAGAAATAAGACATATGAGATTGGGGGAAAACATTGAATAACTGCCTGATGTTCTGTTAAGTCACCAAAGTTCAAAAGTGGCCATCTTATTTCCATGGATTTAACAGCCTTTTTTTTTTCTGTATCTTTGTTGGAAAGCACCCAGTCAGGCAGGGTGTAAGGCTCAAGGGCGAAGCTAACCTGGAGTCACTGCACAACCACAAAAAACTGACCTCCCTAAATTCCTTGGAGGATTATCTATTTTTTCCCAAGGGAAGGCTGCCAGTCTGGGCAGTCTCTTGATAGGCAGACGAAGAAGGCAGTTAGCTTGAACTCTGCATGTGTGGGCCTGGTTGTTCATGCCTGACAACCTTAGATGTAAAAAAAAAAATCAAGATAAACAGAAGGCAAACAATAGAAAAAATATATGAATCATTCCTAATAATTTCTCCTGTGTTTTGATTATGAGGTTAACATTTTTAAGATAATGGCTATCGTTCTTAGTGAAATGACAAACATGAAGATAGTTTTTCAGGAAAATTAATAATTGGTTTTCTTCTAAAGGTCTGGTGTCATAAATGTTCTACTTGTTTTAGGTGTTCACTGCAGCATGAATGCGCCCATTCGGAAGAGTCCTATTTCTGGATCAGTGCCAATGAGGGAGTACAACAATGCCCTTCAATGACCACAATGCCTTCAGAAATAAATATCGAGAACGAAAATGAGGTACGTGAAGTAAGAATTGCAATGTCTATGAATAAATTCTCTTAAGCAAAGGGAACTGATTAAAAGCATTATGAACAATATTTAAATAATGGATCTGCCCCCCCCCCCATCTCATACTCTTAGCAGTGTGCAAGGATTACAACAACAGCTATAAACAATGTCACCTAAGGTAAACAATAAATCCCAATCATAAAAAGTTACATCAGCAGCATAGTGAAACAGCCTTGTGAAAGGTTATCGGGGTCAGAGCCATCTGGATCTCTGCAGAGGATATTGTTCCACTGGGAAAGTATTGACACATAGACGGCATCTTGTAATTTTACCAACACAATCTCTGAATATTCGGCTGCACTTGCTATTTTTACTCAAGAGAGCAGCAGCTTTATTCCAAACAAAGTTTAACCTAAAATACAGTATTTTTAAAACCTGTTTGTCAATGTAATTTATTTTTTTGTTAATCTATTAGAATGATAACATTTTGTTGTTCACTTTTAGGGTATGATAATCCAAATAAATGGGAACATTCCAAATATGAACGGAATGGAAATAGCTTGCAATTATGGAAATAATATCCAAACCACTGCTAAAATTCATCCCCAATCTCACAACCAAGTAATTTACTGCAGTTTTCTTCCCAGAGAGAGCTACCCAGCCTTTCCATTAAATCAAGGTATGTATGAAAAATGGTGCTTTAAATAATGATGATGTAATAATGACATTAAAGATGAGTTTCTTAATTTTCTTAATTAAATTAAACTTTCTTAATTTTTATTTTTATTTAGTAATGTTCCTATAGTTGAGACACATTTCATTGTATCAGTGGTGGATTTCTGAAAGCTTGCTCAACTTATGACTGCAACTGAGCCCAAAATTTACATTGCTAAGCAAGTCAGTTGTTAAGTGAGTTTCCCCCATTGTATGACCTTTTTGGTTACAGTTCTTGAGTGAACCACTGCAGTTGTTAAGTTAGTAAGATGGTTGTTAAGTGAATCTGGCTTTCCCATTGGCTTTGCTTTTCCAAAGGTTGCAAAAAGTGATACTGCAACTGTCCTAAATACATGCAAGTTGCCAAGCAGATGCATTTTGATCATGTGACCATGCAACAGTCGTAAGTGTGAAAAACAGTCATAAGTCTCTTTTTTAATGCCTCTGTAACTTTGAGCAGTCCCTAAACCAATGATTGTAAGTTGAAGACTATCGGTACCAAAGAGCGTTAAGACATACTGTAGCTAGTTAAAGTTTCTTTCTGATGGTCTCTTCCTTAAATCATGTTTTGCTGTCCCCATAGACCTTCTCCAAGGCCACATTCCTGATTCACTATAGTGTCTCAATTTGATGTGAAACAGATATTTTCTAGGTGGGGCGTGTTGAGTCATGTAAAAAACCCTTATCTACAGTATTGAACAGTTGTCCTGTGGCTATCTCATTCATTAATGCTACTTGCATATACAGTTTTTCAGCCCGAAAGTTAAATTACCGGTTTTAAATCACCGTTTGATTATTTGTTTCACTTTGTTTAGTGAAAGTAATTTGTCATGGCCATGCAATACTGAATACATCTATTTATAAAGTTTGGATCCGTTTATCTTGGTTACAGTTCAAGAGTCTTGCCAAAACAAATACTTTATATGAAAATCCTGACTCTTCAAACTACTGAATTTAAGTTAAATAAAGGGGCATGAAAAATTGCTTCAAAATAAAGGATGAATGATTATATCAACTCCGTTTGGTTCGTTTTCAAAATTCTTCGAATCTCAATTTTATCCCATCCAATTTTATACAAAAAAAGGATGTTTCCAATGCATTTTAGGTACCAGTTCCATTCCAAAATTTAAAAATGTAAATATATTTTTCTGTATGTTCTGATTCACATATCAGTTCCTCAACATTTAAAACAAACATATTTTAAAAAATTGCTAATAAAAATAAATCCTCACAGAGATTATTTACATACATAATACATAAAGCATTCACAAAATATGTATTGCCAGCTTTTCCTGTTTCATATATTAATTTGTATTTGTAATGTAACAAAATAATCTTGGGAGTATTTGGAGAAGCTGAACTCTTGAGAAACTTCATCTCTTGAGTAAACAACAGTTTTGAATTTTTTTTTCTTTTTTCAGACATTCATGTTGTCTTGAAAGTAAACTATGAAAAGAGTTCCCTTGTGACTTGCTTGTTTTGGGGTTGTTTGTTTCAGATCATGTAATTATTCAAACTGCAGTCCAGGTCAACGGAAAAAACATTGTGTGGGCCAATTTCACCATCTATGATTGCAAGAGAACTGGAAATATTTATCCAAAGACAGCGTAAGTGATCTCGTGGCCTGTAAATGATAGAAAGGCAGGTTGCTTTGCTTTGGTTTGCATCAGAATTCACCAGTCAGGAATTCCTTTATCTTTGTTGGTGGTTTCAGTTTAAGCAGGAGGAAATATTGTAAAATAGATAACTTGAAATACAACATCTTCAACATTTTAATTTTTTTAGCTAGAGGCTTTCGAACTGTGAGTTGCAATTCCTTGGGAATTGCAATATTGTTTGCTATAGCACTTTTACAAAACACTCAGTATAGCCATAAAATTCTGCTACATCCAAAATTTCAGGAAACATTTTAACTTGTCTTGATTAATTGTCATGGATTGGAGTTTTTTTATGCAGTTATTGGCGTATTGGATATTGGCGGTTCATTGCCACAGAACACAAATAATTGCATTTGCTTCTGTCATAAATATTCATATATATGGAGCATCCGTGCCAGCAAGGCATGTAACCCTGTATTTGTAGTCTTTGAAGTGTCTGAAGGAGTGCATATGCTTGTGTAGCTCAAGAGTTTTTTCCTGTAATTTTAACAAATGTTAAACCAATTACTAGTATGCTTGCTACTAAAGAGGAGAAGCAATTCTTCTGACATATCTCTGTTGACACTTCTTTGAATATAAATTTCCTGACAAAAATCTCTCCCTGAATTTTGGAGTGGGGTACAAAATTAATGCAAAGATTTAAGAGATACAGTTTGGTCTAATGGTTAAGGCACCAGTCTAGAAAATAGGAGACTGTGAGTTCTAATCCTGCCTCAGCCGCAAAAGCCAGCTGGATGACTTTGGGCCAGTCACTCTCTGTCAGCCCAACTCACCTCACAGGGTTGTTATTTTGGAGAAAATAGGAGGATATGTTTGCTGCCTTGAGTTATATGAAAAAATTATAAAGGCAGGATACAAACAAATATGAAAAGTATACAAATATATTGAAGTCTGTATTATAAATCCATAAAGAACAAATATTGATAAAAAAATAAATGTGGAATGAAAAATATGAGTAGCTGTTTCAGAAATAAAAACTAGGAATCATGTAAAAATAATCAAGTTCATCTTTCCAATTTAAAAAAAAAATGATTTTAAATGTGACAATGTCCTTTCGTTGGATCAGGTTTTTTTTAAGTTATAAAGTTTGTGAAGTTTTCAAAATATTTCATTTGATAAATAGATAAAATTATTACTAAAATCCTTTTTTTTTTTTGCCCAATGCTAATTCCAGTGAAATTTTTAGTTTTATTGTGAGGTGAAGGATGGAAGAAGTAGAAACACGTTTATTTTTTAAGTGGTCATAGTACCAAACAGTTGGAAAACCTTGTTGTAGATTTACTAAGCTAGAATCACTTTGTTATCTACAAGGTATTTTGGATGCCGGGCAGGATTGGCAGGAAAGATGATCTAACATGCCAAGAATTGCAGAGACTGGGTTTTAGAGTATTTCAGACCATCTGGATGTGTTGATGGTTTGGGGCAATTTTTTCTTTCCCTTTTCCCATGATAATATTTTTGACTGAAAGCTTTAAAATTAACCTTACATCAGAAAGCTGATATAAGGAACAAACAATTCCATTTTTGAGATCGTTCAATTTATATGTGGATATAGTAGAGTATCATGTTTGGCTTAATCTTAATTTCATTAGTTATTAATAGTGTGGCAGAAGCTATCTTTCACATGATTTTTCTTGCTATCCTTTTAAAGCAATTTATTTTGGATTGTTAGGAGTTATAGATAGTAGCAAATGCAATCTAAGGTGCATTGAAAGACAATCTCTTCAGTATAATTTTAAAAATTTTGAGGCAAGAACAAGATTTTTTCACAAAATGGCTTGCCAATCTCAAAGTATGATACCAATTATAGTAATACATTGTTCTAAACCAAGTTTAAGTATAATTTATTGAAATAACCAAAAAAATTCTCATCCCTAAGCCAAACTAGCTGTTTCCAGTAGAAATGAGAAAGGAGATGTATTTATCGTACAAGAATAGTAGCAAAAATAGTAAGGAAAATGTGGGGAAAAGACATAAAAGAATGAAAAGCAAACGACAGAGCAGAAACAGAGCTACATAATAAATAGATCTATTCTAAAAGAATAATTTACTTGCATGGGGCTAATACTAAAATTACTGAAATAATATTCTTCAGAATTAAAAAGTAGATGAAAATGGCTGGAAACATGCTATTTTTTACATATAATGTTGTTCACTGCATTTAAGTTACTCATAAATATCTGAAAAGTGCAATTCACAGTTCAAGAATCCCTATCTACAATAATTTGGTATTGAAAATATACTATTTTGGATTACATAATTTATTATTTCTCCTTCTGCTTAAATTAAACCACCACCACAACCAACAACAACAATATAGATGTGATTACAATTGCATATTTTTAGCTCAGGGTTGAACTGTGGGGTCCCTGATGGCATCCATGAACACCAATGAGCAGTTCAAAACATGATTGAATTTGAATTGAATTTATTGCATTTATATGCCGCCCTTTTCCCCGAAGGGGAAAAACGCTTTAATTGCCTAACACAAGGATAGATTTCACCATAATTTCAGCTGGGGGATGTGAGTGTCCAAAAACACTAGAGAATTCCTGGAAGCTTGGAACGCAGAGAAATCATCCATCAACAGGCACATTGAGTAGACAACATCTAAATACCATTCAAAAGAGACAATCAAAAAGCTAAAAATCCACAATACCCCTTGATGAGCAATCAACATTTAGATAAGTAAAGCTTAATATCAAGCAGTAAACAACAGCCTAATCAAGGAACCACTAAGAACTCTCCCACCAACCCTGATAGGACAAGCCACCTGATTATAAGCAAAGAGCAAGCCCCACTACCTTCTAGCACTGGGTGGCACAGTGGTTACATGTAGTATTGCAGGCTAACACTGTCCATAGCCAGGAGTTCGATCCTAACCGGTTAAAGGTTGACTCAGCTTTCCATCCTTCCAAGGTCAGTAAAATGGGGACACAGACTCTTGTGGGCAACATCCTGGCATTTGTTAACCTGTGAGAGAGTGCTGTAAAGCACTATGGAGCAATATATAATTCTAAATGCTATTACTATTTCTGTGTTGTCTAGTTGGATAATAAAATGTCTTCAAGAAAACAACCAAGCTCAGAGAGCACCAAGGATCTCATAGATGTAATAAAACATGTTAGCTTATCAAACGTAATAGCGAAGGATATGGTGGCTGCTCCATCATATACACACAGGCAATTTAAAATATTTCAGATTTCAATAGATAGTTTTACCATAAGCCGTAACAGAATTTGCAGATTCATAAAGAAAACAAAGCTTCAAAGAAGAGACTGCTATACTTAGTAAATGTAGTTTCTTTTATATATTTCAGATGTATTAGTTGCCTGTCAGCTAAATGGAAATGTTATTGGTGTCCTAGAAGAAGCTCCTGTGTATCCAATGTGACTGAATGTGAGAATTCAGTACAGATTACTGTAAGGCACATAACAGTATATAGTTTGTTTTTTTTAAAAATTCTTGTTTTGTTTCTCTTGTATAGGGAAGAAATAATTGCTGCCAACAAAGACTTTTTAAGAAATATTATGGAAAAGCTTATGTTCAGAAAATGTTGCATATCACCGAGGGGAGTGGGGGGAGAGTGTTGGAGAACTGGATCTGAATGCCTTTCATAGCATGCTTTCAAATCACTGAGATTTCCAGTGCTCTCCATTTTCTTTTATTTATACATTGCCTAGTTCCATTACAATTGCGTGCAGCATAAAATATACAAAATGTAAAATAAAACAATCTACACAAAAAGGAATATCTGGAGAAAAACAACTAATGTTTCAAAAATTGTATAACTCACAAGAGGCCCATCTGCTACTCTAGCCAGGTTTTCAGGACATGTCAGGGTGTGGCACTCTTGAGGAGGGGGAGAGGTGAGACTGTGAAGAACTTGTGAATCCCACAGACTAGTGATCTCTGCCTAAATCTCAGCTGGACCCAAATACAGAAAAAAGAGAAGAATCAAGCACTTAAAATATTTCTTATAGCAGCTATCTAAAGGCCCATCTCTCCAGAACGGGGAAAGAGTATAGCTATCTATGGACCGATAAGAGCAGAGAAATAATTATATTTTGCTAACTTTATCACTACAATGTGATTCCTAGTGTGGGCTTTTATTCATACTTGATTGGGTTTACTCTGTATCTTTTAATGGTGCTCTAACCATCTTTTACAATGTTTCATCTTCCAATCCCTTGGAAAACCAAGATGCATCTTAGAATTGGCTCATAACGATAGGCTATATCAGTGGTGGGATTCAACTGGTTTAACAACCGGTTTGCTGAGTGCGTGCTCTGCACACACTCAGTGTGTTTGAAAACAGCTCTAGACCTTACCTTCTACTGCAGCCCTGTTGAGTAAAACAGCTGAGGCGTGGCAATCTACTCTGCCGCACCTATCAGCTGGGCTTCAAACAAAGGAAATATAGAACAGACTAGTGCAGGGGCAGGTGGGCGGGGCCAACTGATCGCTAGAACTACCGGTTCACCTGAACCTATCTGAACCCTCGCCTGGGCTACATAGGAGCAATCCAGACCAAGACAAGCCCATTCCAGGCAGTGACCAAGGCCTTACTTAAACCACTAATCAGATCCTTAGGGGGAAACCCAGTTATCTCTGTAATGCTATATTAGATTGTAGCAGATCAATCTAGTGTGTCCCAGCTCTCTATGGTGGGAAGAGTTACGGTAATCAAAAGGCAATCAGAATGTGATCTGACCATGGCAAAGGACTCATGATAATATCCTTTCCTCCCACATCATATTGCAGCTGCCTCAAGTAAAAAAAACTAGGTCTAGCTAGGTCCCTCTCCCATCTGTATATGTGAGTCTCTTGATTACTAGGGTCAGGTCCATGCTTGCCATAAGTTGTCATAAGCCTTGGAGATTCTTCTACCTGAGCCAGCTGCACCTGAGCAAAGTTACTGATGAAACCCCTTCCAGAGCAGGGGGCCACTTACTCTTGGGGCTTGTGTCAGTGTACATCTTCACCTTCATTTCTGTTTCTTGATTTGAACATACCCACAACTGCTCCTAACTAGGCTGCCTTAACTATTACCACACAAATACTGTCTTTAAAAGCATGCTTACATCTTATATGCCTAACTCTGTTAGTCTTACTAATTCTATTTCTGTTGGTTACTTTAATTAACAGAATAAAGTTGTCAGAAGAGTTGGATCTAAAATTACCAGCCTGTTTTCTTCTTCCTTTCCTAATGCTTAGAGATGGGGAAGAATTTCTTCTGAAATAGATGTGAAAAGCCAATTGGAGGCTCCTTTCAATAATCTTTTTTACTCTTAAATTGGAACTCTCCAGTATACCATCCTTACAAGTACTTTTATAAGTGTGATCCCTATCACTCTTGTCCATTCCTTTTCCTTTGAGAATTCACAATTTTCATCTTATTCTCTGTCTCAAGTTACATATGTTGTTCCTCAATCAGTACCATTTACTGCAGCTTTGATATTGACCAAATCTAAGGATATACACCTGTGCTATAGGCCTGGCAATATTTACTCCACCCAACTGTTTATTCTTGGTGGTAGTCCTTAGCTCTGTTTCCTAAGTCCCTGAAGAGTCTCTGATTTCTCTCACATGCCTCAATGGTCCAAGCTCCAGACCTGGCTAAAACAGATCCACAATCGCTCTGGAAACTGTGAAACAGAATCAGGTTTTATTCAGGCTGGGGCCTCAGCACAATTTAAGTCCTGCTAAAGTTCAGTGTAAAGTCAGCGCTGGGAGTTACTGTCTCCCAGCATCTTATGTAAGCGGTGTCCACACCCTCCCCACCTGGACATGCCCCTGGCCATCCAACCACCAGCCGGTAGCCAACTGGCCAGCTTTAGCTAGTCCTTTCACAGCAAACGGTCTGCCAAGGCTCCGCTCTCCTTTCCCAGCAACCAGTCCTCTAGTCTTTCACAGAAACCAGTCTTCCAGAGCTCCGCTTTGTGGGCTGCCTCTGCATTGTTACAGCCACTATCAGTCAGCTGATTTTCGGCATCCCAGCACACCGCCAATCAGCTGGGCCAGGTGATGGTGACATTGTCATCATATACTTTCTCCACCTCGTAGGCACTGGAACCTTCACCGCCGAACAGCTGGTCAGTGGCTGGCTCTCCGCCTCTCACCCCGCCACTGATCAGCTGTTCCAGGCAGCCAGGACTGCTGCCGCTGTTCACTGCTGCTGTTTGCTGTGTCGTTGCTGCTTTTCCCAAATTCCCCTCTCCCCAAATATGGCAAACCCCACCAAGGTTTGACACAGGTATTCCTTGTTTTTCACTTTAAGCTTGCTTCCATTGGACTTATCTCTTATGTCTAGTGCTTTGCCTCATTTATTGCAGAACTTGTTTGCAGACTCTAACTCTAGTTGACCAACACTTCGAAGAATCCCAGAACAATGTTTCAGACTTTTTTTTAACCCTATAAGCATATCTCTTTTGGAAAGACTCTTCCTTCTCTGGATCTATAGCTATATGCAAAGCAGCTACTGCTAACAGCTGAAACTCCTCAGACTCACAAAGGCATCATCAAAGCTCCCCTGTCTTCTTATTTGTTCCTGTGGCAGGCTGAAAAAAGTTGTTGGAACACTCCAGCAGTCATCACTAGTTCTATATATCTGATTAAAAATTCCAGAAAGGTTGACTAGATTGGTGATATGAGCTCTTCCTTTCTCTTTTACTCTAATCAGAGAAATACAAAACCATCTGTTTATATCTTCTTTCATTTGCATGCAAATCTGGGTAGGGTCCACTTTACCAGTTGAGAAGCTTTAATAGGAATACCAAGATGACCAAAGGAGTCAGAACAAATCCGATCGCTTAATACATTATTACTGGGGATCCAGTGGCATCAAGTCTGATTTGTTCCAAATTATAAAATAACCAGATATAATGCCAAATTTATATATTATTGAAATGAGATTGGAAATTGGGTTCTGAATTATGAATACTGGGAAACCTGTAATAACTCTTTCTCTGCAGAAACTTCCAATGATTTTTTTTGTCAAGAGATTTATGTTCAATGTGTATAACTTGTTCCTTCCTATTATGATGGAGAAATGGTGACTTTAATGCAGTTCTCCTGTAGTCCTTTAAGCTGCTGTCAGCATGACATTTAAAGCTTCTATTGCTGAAAACTGAATGGCTTGAAACAGTGATTTTAGTATATCGAATAGATTAGTTCTGTATCATCTATACCTTCTTACCAGAGATAAGGTTCTCCTTCAACCAGAAATCTTTTCTCCCAAAGGTTATATTTTTTAAAATAAAAATCCAGATATGGTTAACTGAATTCTACTGTAGATTCAAAATTGGTATTTATTTATGTTTTTGATACAATCTGCAACCTCTGACCATAAATTTGCTTATGCTGAATAAAGTAATTGTTGCTTTTAGAACTCTATTTTTAAAGAAGCTTCTTTGTGGATAAGCTGTTGTTTCCTTGAAAACATTTTTCACTAAGCATATTATGTTTTCTGCTTTAGAATCTCAGATTAACTTTTTATAGAAATTCTATACTTTCCACTAGCTTCTTGACTTTGACTTCATTTAATGATGCTTACACCGTCAATAAAACAAGCTGTTTAACATATATAGTCCTCAGGATATGACAGCAATTGGGACTGAAACTTCTATCATTAAACAATGTGATAGCAAAGTGTGAGGTTATATGGTTGCATCACTTTGCAATAGCAATCCCAGGACTCCCCATTGCTGTCACTTAGACAGGATCATGGGTTATAAAATAAGGATTTTTCCTACTGGCTTCCCACAATGGGAAAGCCAACAGGAAGTTGCAAATCCCATACAGCTTGCAAGCAGGCCAGTGGAGGTAAGATGCACAAGTGACAACCATAGGTGTGGTGGTGGTGGGTTTCAAATCCCGTTCCAACCAGTATGGTTGGAACGGGTTTGCCAGCATCCACGTGGACGCGCGCAGCACACGCATGCATCTTGGTGCTTCCCCGAGCTTCCGCGATGCTCCAGCTGCTCAGCGGAGAATTGTGCATGCACTATATGCGCTGTGTGTGGAAGCGCTGAAGACCTAAAAGGAAGGTAAGAAGTGAAGGCAGGCAGGTGGGCCCTCCGGAGCACCATACCGGAATGGTATCTGGTGCTCCAGGCTGGCTCTGGTACGTGCGTACCGGGGAGTACCGCCTGCAACCCACCACTGAGGTGTGCTGTGGGTGGTGAGGCCAGATTTATCCCAGGAAAAACCGTACATTCCAGAGTGACTTGTGACTTTTCCTGCTGACTTCTTCATCTAATGTCTATCAAGTTAAATATCTATCAAAACTATCGTGTTATATTCTTGATAATTATGTCATGCCATTAATACAGCGTATTTAAGTTGTATAGCAATATGGTTTATATTCCAATTATAGGGAGCATGGTGGCCTAGCAGTTAAGACACTCGGCTTATCAGTCAA